AAAGTTGCCAGGTTTGGAGACCTCTGACCAATGAGCTTCTCCTCTTAAATCTTCTGATTCTCCTTTCTCGACCTGAGATATCGAGCACACCTGCCAGGTGTGTTTTGATCATGGGCTTCCGGGTTGGCACACTTTTCTAACGGTGCCGCTTTTGACCTCTCATCAGATTTGAGGTTGTAAACTCCACAACCCCCACCCAACCAGGAATTGTAATAGCCCCATCTCCCGGAAATGTTTTGTTTTGGAGACCCCAAAATAAAATGGACCAGGAACATGCAGATTTACGAAAGTGGGGCTAGATGGGTGACTTTGGGCCAGCCTCTCAGCCCAACCTACCTCACAAGGTGGTCGTGGGGAAAATAGGGGTGTTGGACATGTTCCCTTTCTTGATTGGGATAAAGATGGATGGATGATAGGATAGATATATATGTGATAGATATCAAATGGATGGATGGATTAGATCAATTGATGCGGTAGATGATAAGTAAGATATATGATAGATAGATTGATAGATTGATAGATGGATGATAGATTGATGGATGATAGATTGTTGGATGTAGATGGATATGATAGGGAGGTGGATGATGATAGATCGATTGACGGTAGATGATCGGTAGATATAGATTAGATAAATTGATGGATGGGCGGACAGATTGATAGATGGATGATAGATCGATTGATGGATGATTGATGGATGGATGATATTGATTGATGATTGATCGGTGATAGATTAGATAGATAGATAGATAGATAGATAGATAGATAGATAGATAGATAGATAGAAAGGGGTGTGTGTGTGTATGTATCAAAAGTTTATAGTCCTCAGGTTTTCCCCTCCCTCCCCCAATACCGGGCAGCTGAGTGTGAGAGTGGCGTTTGTGCATTCCTATCACAGAGTGAGAGCTACTTCCTGCTCCCCAAGCTACCTGCAGCGAGCCCATGGATAGCAAAGGGGAAGGCCAGGGGGGAGGAATAATGGCATTGTTAGCAAGAAGAGAAAAGGTGATTTGCTTGTTCTCTTTTGAACCCGGCTCCCCAGGAGACCTTCTGAGAAGAAAAAGCCCTGGAAGAGAGGAATCGACTAATAAAGAAATCCCGGAGCTGCTCAGCCTCACTGGATCCCTTTTACAAGCCTTTTACAAGCAGGACTGGCCTCTTTGAACATCTGGCCGCATAAAAAGAAAAACTCGGCAAGCACTTCAAGGGGGGAAAAAAAGCAATCGCCTTGTTTTTAAGCCGTTTCCAATCCACGTAAAAGTATAATTAGAGTGAAAAGGAGATTCCTCCCACCCAAAATGATGACCCAAGGTTAAAGGACAAAGTTGGGATTGGAAAAGCTATTCCGAATCCCTATAGATCCAATAAAAGCAGGATATATAAATAAATATAATGGGCAATGACTAGAGGAATGAAAATCCACCGGGGGGACTCCCTTTTTACTTTTAAAAATAAATAAATACATAGGTTTAAAATTTTTAAAATTCATGTAAGGCCATAAGGCCGTAAGGCTAAAATGGACATAGATGTCGTGTGTATCAGTCCCTGGTTATCCATCTCCCATTAAAAATGATTGCTGCTTCCAAATCTGAGATATATGTCATCATTTTAATATCCTCATTTTGGGGGGGGGAGGGGGGGTTAAACGTAGGAAGAAATACATTCCACTGTTTTTAATTTACTTTATTCATTGAATACACATCTAACAGTAACTGAGACATAAGCTGTGTGGGGAAGAGATTGTGAAGTTTGCTTCTGTATTTCCTCTGATAGGAAATATCATGTGTGTGTGTGTATGTGTACACACACACACGTACACACACACACACACTAGCTCGATACCCGTGTTTCGCTACAAAACTATGTGATTAGGCTTTAGTTTTTTGGGAGGAAAATAAGGAGGAAAAAATTCTGCCTCTGCCTACCAGCATCCATCAGTATTCATCTGGCTAGCATCCTGTCAGTGTGTGAGAGTTGAGGGCTGTTTGGAAACTAAAAGATTATTTGCTGTGTGAGCAAGGAGACAGCAAGGAGCCTGGGCATGGCTTAGCTCAACTGTTCTGTACTAAAGCTGCTTGGTGCTGCTGTGAAACTGAAACTCCTCTGCTTGTGTTTTGCCTTTGGAAGAGATTTCTTTCCAGGTGGGGAGGGGGAGTAGAACTCCTTAGCATCGGAGCGTGTTAATAATAATAATAATATAGGAAATTCTAATGCTCTGATGGTCATTTCAAAAAAGCCAAGAGGAACATACGTGCCCAATTTCAAGTTTGTAGGCTTTACGGTTCTGGAGATTTTGTGATGATGCTTGAGTGATATTTTGTTTTTATATAGAGAGAGATTTGGAAATGTTGGTTTTTTTCATGACTGGGAATCAGTGCGCCTGCGACTGAAGTGGTTTTTACTGTTTCTTTACAAATGAGTGATTCATTTTCCTAAGCATTTTTTCAAAGTCATAGTCCGTTCAAAAATTATGTGGCTCTGAAGTTACACAGGGCTTTTATAAACCCTTGAAATTTGTTCTGAGCGATGGAGAACTTTAACAAGAAAGTTGCACTTTATAACTAATCCGTATGGCGTTAATATGGATTCAGCGATCCGGACAGCTGAATTGTCCCAACTTTCGAAGCACAAAGCTGCCAATCGTGTTATATTTACATTATAAACTAGGGCAATCTTAAGTGCCTTGGAATTAAATGAGAGAGGAGAGACTTTTGGCTTCATGCAAGGAAAGCAGCAGAAGCAGCAGAAGTCTTTCTTTCTCTCCCCCAAACCACCAGAAATGAGTCTTTGCCGGCGCAGCCTCTTGGAGCAGGAGGCCTTGTAGAGTCCCAGACTCATTTCTGGCGGAGTTTGGGGGAGAGAAAGACTTTGGCAGCTTTCCTTCCTTGCAGCCAAAAGCAGAAGCAGAAAGAAGCAGCCCGGTGGCCAGGCCAGGCGCGTGGAGCCAGTGGGGCAAGTTCCCTCCCTCCGCCCTTTCCCCTCTCCCCTCCCTACCTCCTGTTGTTCGCAATGCAAGCAATGCAAGCCTTGTGTTCCCGCACAGCCTGGATTAATTGCTTTGGGGGAGACATTTCTCTGCAGAGCACCAAAATTGGCAACCACTGGTCTAGAAGACCTCCAAGGAAGACCTTCCAACTTTGTTGTTCTGGATGGACCGTTGAGTCTTTCTCTGTGTTCAGTTTTCTGTTTCTTTCCCAACTTGAGTTCGCATCCAACCCTCATGGATCAAACTCCTTTTTCTTGATCTGCCTTACCAAGTGGTTGAAAACAGATCTGTCTCTTTTTGTACTCCCTAAGAGGCTGGGGAATGTAGAATTATAACAACCAACATTAACTGTTTTAACACAGGACTCCAGAATCCTCGTCACCGTGAACACCTGCAAGCCTGCAAACTAATTGGAATTCTTCAGAGCTCTGCATAATGGATTGCCTTCTGTTCTTCTCTGCTGCAGACACAATTAAACACCCAGACGTGAAATATGATGTCCTTGTGATTCTGGAGACACAATCAACCCTGTCCTCCTTTATTGCCGTTAGCACGGAGATCACCAAAAAGGACCAGAGAATGCCAATCCTCCAGCAATTCCCAGCAGAGTTGATAATTTATAACAAGGGAGAGTTGCTACTTATTGCAGCTAAGATGTTCAGAAATTGTTGGAAGTAAGGTGGAAAGCATAAGCATCTTTGTATGGCTGAATTCTGGGCCCTTCCTTGAACCTTCTAAGTCCAAATTCTGCATATAAGAAATTAATTCTCACCTAAAGTATTAAGCCTATTATAAATATATATATTTGCTTCAAAGCAACTGGATTGCACTTGAGGTTTGTTTCCATTTTTCTTCAAAAAGCACCCTGAGTATTAAGTTACAAGCTAAAGATTCACAATAATAAAAAAAAAAATCAAAGTACAGCAGTAACTCCCCAAATTAAACCTTATCTGCTGAGTTTAGACTTATTTGCGGTAGGCCGTTTTGATTGCAAAACTCTTCACATTCGGGATATTCTGAAGATCTCTGTCCAAATATTTAGAGTGATCAGGGTTTATTTTTATTTTCTTATCCTGTGTTCTTTCATTTCAGTTATGGCATGTATTGCAACTTTAAAACCAGAGCATAACGGGGAGGAAGGAACATTGCCCGATTAACACACACTAAACTGAGCAGATAAACACCTAACTGCCTGTTTTTGTTCCCTGATGAAAATTCTCCATCACAGAAATGAGGACAAAGCAACAATAAAAGATAAAATGAGCCCATTATTTTCAAGCTACAGTACAAAAAAGTAGTTTCCAAAGCCTTTCTCTTGTATATGTTTTTTTTCTCTTTTAATAAGTAAATAAGTACTTTTCATAAGTAACGCTTGTTGCTGATGATAGATTTTTAGTATCACGTGAAAGTGGTGATATTTTGGAAGTTGGTCATTCTAAAAAAGAAGACTAAGGCAATTGTTGGGGACAACATCCTTAAAATAAAGACAGAGCTTCCATCATGGCTGCTGTTCTGATTTTTAACCACACCTTATGGCCATCCCTGACATAAAAGGTAAATAAAACAAGATTTAATATGATTTTTATTCACACTTACAGTAAGTAAAAAATGAATCCCTGAAGGACAATATTGCAAGATCCTAACATCACGACGAGGCCTAATGGAGTTTTAGTTTTTTCATCCAAAGAGTTCGTTTAAGTGTGGGCAATTGCATTGCATCCGATCATTTGGATGCAATGGACCAAGGGTCTTCAAACTTGGAAACTTTTAAGACTTGTGGACTTCAAACTCCCAGAATTCCTGAGCTAACATGATTGGAGAAGGAATTCTGGGAGTTGAAATCCACAAGTCTTAAAGCTGTCAAGTTTGAACACCCCTGCACTGTAGAATCTGAGGTAGAGGCCTCCAACCTTGGCTACTTTAAGACTTGTGGACTTTAATTCCCAGAATTCTCCAGCGAGCATAGCTTACTCGCTTGTAACCCCTTCCTCTGCAATCTCTCCACTTTAGGAGATTAAGAGAGGGGGAAAAAGCAGGCACAGCTGGCTGAGCAATTCTGGGAGTTGAAGTTCCACAAGACTCAAAGGGGCCGAGGTTGGAGACCCCGCTGGTCTGAGGCGTTTCAGCAAGCATCCAAAGATGGATGGGTAACCGTTACCCAGGCATAGGTTAAAAGAAAAAAGGAAAAAAAAGAGATTTAGTTGTCTTCATGAGTGATCTCTGTGGATTCCCAAACATCTTCATCCCCAGCTGGAGATGAGAAGACATCCTCTTCGCTTTGACCTACTTCGCGCGGTTGCATTTTGTTCGGGTTCAAGTCGAGAGGGCGGGTTAATTGGCAAGGCTGGCCTGCCGCCGACTTCTGCGTGCGCTCGGGGGTCGTCTCGCTGTCCGACGGAGCATCCGAAGGGCTTCCCAGACGGAATCCCAGGCCGTCGTTCTGCAGGATGTAGCGGATGCACTGAAGGATCACGTTCCTTTCGTGCCGTATGTCCTTGGCTAGAAGCTGCAGGGAAGGAAGGAAAAGCAGAAGGTGCATATTAAAGTCTCCGAGAAGCTCGATTGAAACAAGAGTGTAGAAACCATCGTGTCCCAAAGGTGGTTTTTTTTTTTTTCAGGAGGCAACTGGACTTTCTTGTTTTTTCTTTGCTTCCTGAAAAAAAAAAAAACCACCTTTGGGACAACCATGACCTGGAGGACTGAGAATCTCTACAGACTTTTAGCTATACAATTTGGGATGAACCCCCTTGGAATGGGGTGGGAGTAGGAATGGATTTTCAGGGAGAAAAACTGCAGATTACAGGAACCATTTGCACTACTCAGGTGACCCTGAGGACACAGATAAACCTCCAAATGGCCCCAACGACCTTCTAAAAGGATGCAAATGGCCAGCTGTCTGCAAGGAGTATCAATCCTTCCATTCTCCACCGTCCAGGCAGAGCTGAAGAAGCTTCTTGGATGAGAAGTGAAATGTCTTCAAAAGAAAAAAACGAAGAAAGTCCAGTTGCCTCCTGAAAGAAAAAGCACCTTTGGGTCAACCATGACCTGGAGGACTGAGAATCTGTACAGAGTTTTAGCCATAGAATTTGGGCTGAACAACCTTTGGATGGGGTGGGAATAAGGAATGAATTTCCGGAGGAAAAGATTGCAGACTAGAGGAACCATTGGCACCACTCAGGGGACCCTGAGGACACGGAGAAACCTCCAAGTGGCCTCAACGACCCTCTAAAAGGATGCAAATGGCCGGAGGTCTGCAAGGAATATAAAACCTTCCCTTCCCCACCATCCAGTCAGAGCTGAAGAAGCTTCTCAGATGAGAAGCGGAACCTCTTCAAAAGAAACCACTGAGCCCAAATTTCCCATCGCTAATTGAAACAGTTGAGTTTTCCCCCACATTTTACGACCGTTTTTGCCAGAGTGCTTAAGCGAATCACTGCCGCTGTTAAAGTCAGTAGCGTAGTTGTTTGAGTGGATTTGGCTTCCCCGTTGACTCTGCTTGTTGAAAGGTCGCAAAAGGAAAACACGTGACCAACACCAACACCCCCGGGGACACACCAACCGTCATAAATATGAGTCAGTTGCCAAGTGCCTGAATTTTGGTCACATGAACAAAGGTCGCAATTCCGAAAAATGGTCCAGTCATCTTTTCTCGGTGTCATTGTAACTTGGAACGGTCACTGAATGAACCATTGTTAAGCTGAGAACTACCTGTAATTCTATGACATTACTATCCCATAATTTTTCAATTACTCGCAACATTCTGTACGCCATTCTGGTTTTTGTGCGTGTGATATTGACGATTATTCAGAGTTTTGCAGCGTTAATTCAGCACCAGAAAAATAAACACAGATGGCTGATGCTTCATTTAACTTCTTTATAAACACGTAAAGTGAATTTTACAATACCAGTTGTAGATTTCTCCAACATGGAGCAAACTCAAACAGAAGCAGACATGTTACAGGTTCAGAGCAAAACAGCAACTCAACTTTTCATCAAGCAAGCAAGACACACAGCAGAGGAGAGAAGCAGTTTCATTTCCAATAGACAGACTCAGAGCTCAACATAGCGGCCGAGTTGCAGAGCTTAATATAGAGCTGTGGTGGTGAACCTGTGGCATGCAGAGCCATTACTGCCGGCACATGAGTACCCTCCCAGAAAAGGTCTATTGCGCAGGCACAGGCGCCGCCCACCCGGCAGCTGATTGTTGGGTATTTGGCACGCATGCATGGGGGCGCGGCGGCACGCAGGAGACACTCGTGCATGCGCAGAAGTGCGCAGCGCGTGCGGGGAGGTGTGTGCATGCACAGAAGCGTGCAGTGCGGGTTGCGTGAGTTGCGCATGCATGCGCAGGAGACATGGGCCCCCGTGTGCATTGCCTTCTGGGTGATTGCACACAAGCACAAGCAGGCAAGCGCGCGCACAATTATCGGCACGGGAGCCCCAAAAGGTTAGCCACTACTGATATAGAGCCACGCCTAGCCTTCTTCTAGTGTCAGTTTCCAAACAGTCCTCATTGGCTGACTTAGTTGCTATGCCGATTCAACGGCTGCCCTTGTTACCAAGGTCCATTCCAGTTCATGAATATATATACTCTTGACAACGATGCCGGATAGTTTTTTTTTTCCCCCCATGAATTTTAGCAGCTTGCTGTTCTTTGCCGTTTATTGTTCCTGCTCTGCGTGTAATCAGCCTTGAGTTGAGGTCAGTGGATGGAAAGGCCCACGGTTTGTAAATCGAGGCACAGCCCGGAACCTTCTGAGGCGTTTCTAAACAGGCAGGGTTGGAGGCAAGCTGGTCACCTGCCTTCCAGCCATAAAAAAGGTACGGAATGTCAACAGGAGATTTCGAGTTTATCAGGTTTCCACCACTACAGCTCAACTCATGCATCATGCTCAAAAGCAGCTTGCTTGAATAAACACAACGTGCTCAGCCCAAACCAAACAATCTGCATTAATAGGCTGGATAAACCCAACCTGTTTTTGCAGTGTATAGTTTGAGGAAAAGATTTGGGAGTGAAGACGGCGTAAATCAACATTTCCGTAAAAGAGACCTTTTTATGCGCCCTTTTTACTTCTGATATATTGGAATAAGGCTAAGGTAAATCCTGTGCTTTTCAGGAGGTCTATTCTAAGTCCTGAATTCCATCAATCAGAATAGAGCTGTAAGGGACCATGGAGGTCTTTTAGTCCAGCCCCCTGGCTCAAGCAGGAGACCCTAGACCAGTGGTGGCTAACCTTTTTGGGCTCCTGTGCCAAAAATTGTGCACGCGCTTGCACAGCACCCAGAAGGCAATGCGTGCCCCCCTGCCCGCCCGCTATGCGTGCACGTACAATCCCCCACTCACCCACCCCTTACCTGCACTGCGCCTCATTAGCCGATTTGAGGCCTTTTTCGGCCTCCCAAAGGCTTGAGGAAGGCTTCTGCAGGCTGAAAATTAGGCCCGTTTCGTCACTTCCAGTATTTCCGGAAAAACAGGAAGTGACGAAACGGGCCTAGTTTTTGGCCTGCAGAAGCCTTCCTAAAGCCTCTGGGAGGCTGAAAAAGGCCTCAAACCGGCCGAAAATCAGCTGTGAGGCGTGCACATGCGCAATGAGGTAAGTTTGCCTAAAGCTCGCGTGCCGGCACAAATGGCTCTGCGTGCCACCTGTGGCACCCGTGCCACGGGTTCGCCATCACAGCCCTAGACCATTTCAGACAACTGACTGCCCACAGTCTCTTCTTAAACACCTCCAGTGTTGGAGCATCCACAACTTCTGGAGGGAAGCTGTTCCACTGGTTAATTGTTCTCACTGTTAGGAAGTTTCTTCTTAATTCCAGGTTGTTTCTCTCCTGGATTCGTTTCCACCCATTGTTTCTTCTCTTGCCTTCTGGTATTTTGGAGAATAGCTTGACTCCCTCTTCTTTGGGGCAGCCCCTCAAATACTGGAATATTGTTATCATGTCACCCCTATTCCTTCTTTTCATTAAACTAGACCTACCCAATTCCTGCAACCGTTCGTCGTATGTTTTAGCCTCCAGCCCCTTAATTACCTTTGTCGCTCTTCTCTGCCCTCTTTCTAGAGTCTCAACATCTTTTTTTATATCATGGTAATCATCTTACTTAGTCTTCTTTGCATTTTTTTTCCAAGGTCTCAACATCTTTTTCGTAATGCGGTGACCAAAACTGGATGCGGTGATTTTTTTAAAAGTTACTAAGAGGGATAGCCATTGCAGCAAGATGAGCAGCAAACAAATTTAATAATCAATAAATAATATTTCAGCCAATCTCCGGGCTAGCTGGATTCTTAAAAGTGCCTTGAAATGATGTAAATCATTACAATCAAACGACCCCAGCAATCGTCATAAATATGGGTCGGTTGTCAAGCATCTGAATTTTGACCGTGGGGAAGCGGCAACAAATAGAAATTTCCTGACAGTTACAACAATTAACCAGCGAAGCAACTTGCCTCCAGAAGTTATAAATGCTCCAACACTGAAGGTTTTAAAGAAGAGATTGGATAACCATTTGTCTGAAATGGTGTAGGTCTTCCTGCCTAAGGATGGGGTTGGACTAGAAGACCTCCAAGGTCCCTTCCAACTCTGATATTCTTTTCTATTCTATTCTAGCCTACCTTACCCTACCCTACCCTACTCTTATTCTATTCTATTTTGCATTCTATCCTATTCCATATTTTCTATTCTACTCTACTCTACTCTACTCTACTCTACTCTACTCTACTCTACTTCTATTCCATATATTCTCTATTCTATTCTGTATATTCTATTCTGTATGTTTTATTCTGTTCTATTCTACTCTATTCTACTCTACTCTATTCTTTATTCCATTCCTTATTCTATTCTACATTCCAGCTTCTATTCTATTCCTATTCTATTATATTCTATTCATTCTTATTCTATTTTATTCTATTCTGCATTCCATCCTATCCTATTCCATATTCTCTACTCTACTCTACTCTACTCTACTCTAATTCTATTCTATTCATATTCTATTCTGCATTCTATCCTATCCTATCCTATTCCATATTTTCTACTCTACTCTACTCTACTCTACTCTACTCTACTCTACTCTACTC